CAGATGCAAGAAGTGAGGTTCTTACTTACGAAAGCTTATGCTCCCAGTACTTCTGTTAGTCTCAAAGGTGCCACAGGACCCTCTGTTGATTTTTGGTAAAATGTTCCCCATTGGAATATAAAGCTGCTTTTTATTTCCATGTTAGCACAGCTGCTAACAGAACCGACATGCACATTAGGGATGAAGTCCTGACCCCAATGAAGTCAACAGGAGTTTGGCCGCTGCCTTCAATAAGGCCAGTACTTCACCCCAGGTACTCACTGAGCATACTTACCCTGACCCATGATGTACAACAACAGCTGCAAGATCATATAGACAGCTTTCTGGGCCACTGTTCTCCGGCTGCAGTTCAAAGTAGAGAAAACAGCTTTTAAGAAGTCAACTGACACCTTCTATGTTCCATAACATACGATAAAACAGAATACATTTCCAGTGTATACATCAGCAAGAGTCTCTGTACCTCTAACAAGTAGCATTTCATGTCTAGGTCCCGGAGGGGAAATTCTACATATGTATCAACCTTGTTTCTCAGATATTCTGTCCAGTGAAATCGTTTCAAGTGTAAGCATAGCACCTAGTATTAAACATGAAAGAGAGTTCATTAGGTTAAGTCTTTGATTATGGTTACATATGTTATTGGTCAAGTTATTAATTTCCTTTAAAGTTTCACCACACACTGATATTTGCACTAACCTTTGGTAGTTTCTGAATCCAGAATTTTTTGGTGGATTTCTGTTTCTTTTTACATTTGTGGCACATATAGAGCTCTGTCTCATCGAGTTCTTCCAAGTCTGTAAAACTGCGAAGACAATCTAAAAGGAAGAGAATTCAGAAGCACCAATAAGAGACCAAGAGATGAGTTCTGGCTGGTTTTTAGTGGGCAGTTACTCTTTGTAGGCAATCTCTTCGTAAAGGCCAAGAATTGAACAAACACGGACCCACTAACCCTTACAGATCATTTCTGAAGCACACTGATGAGGTGGTGGGTGATGTTTGCACTGCTGGTGCTAGACAAAGTAATTCAGGAGCCAGGTCTTGTAATCCAGCCATTTTATAGTCCACTAATATTTTGATTTCTTCTCTCTCAACCTTATATCTCTGCTTCAGTGAAAGTCAATCTTAAACTGGATCCATGTAATTCTGAAAATAGTTAATTTTGGGCTCTAACTCAAGAAATAAGATCTCCCTCTCCCCAAAGGCACTATCAGTTCCAGATAAAGAACTGAGTGGGATATGGTTGCAGTAATCACATTTACAAACATTCTGTGTGAAATCCTGGCTCACTGAAGTCAGTTGAAAACCTATTGATTTCAGTGGGGCCAAGATTTCACTCACCACGCACTCTTACCCCGTAGTGTGCACATTGGTCCATTTTCTTGATTCTTAGTACGTTTATTTCTGAATTGACTTGGAATATCTAGTGAAAGGTCTAGGAAAGAAAAAATACAATTGAATTTCTTAGATCAAAATAAAAACTTAGTTCTTACTGAAGTTTTACATTGTAAAAATCTCAGCACCATCACATATGTGTCAGATACATGAAGATTCAGAGCTTTAATGTGGTAGCCAATACTTTGAAAGAGAAAGATACCTTACCTAGGAATGGATCAAACTTTCTAGATTCAGTCCCACATATTAAGCAGTTTACTTCATTTTGAAGAATGCCTCCAAATATAGCTGTGACAACAGTAGAGGCTCCATTTCTAAACAAACCACCATGAAGGAAAGAAACGCATAAGAATTTCTTGTTTTAGCTGCATTTTACCATGTGAAATATTTTATTGCTTATAACATGTCAAAAACAATCAGGCAGTTTGGTCTGGGTGTAACAAACAAGGATTGGGTTCATTTACATGGCCCTTTCACTCATCACTAGATTCCATGGAGCAAATGTTAATACAGCAAAGATATTGGAAACCTAGAAGGAACAGAAATCTATACTCTATGCAGGTACTCATAAACAGATCTTCAATGGAAAAACTAGATAAGCATCCCAAATCTTTTTAAAGGCTATGTTTAAATACAGTTCATTCTCTTCAGACCGCATACGATTTTAACATTACACGGATGTTATTTTTAAGAGCAGTTTTCTATGTGACAGCTGTGTCTCAAGCTAGGTGAACTAGGGTGCATTTTCTCTTTGAACCTGCTCCCTACTTTTTACTGCACATCTTTAGGGCTTTTTAAAGCAGGTTTCCTCCCATTTAGTCACCTCCAAAAAGACATTTACATTGCAAGAACATGCTAAATGTGTCATCGTTTCTTTTGTCATTCATAAGGCACTTACAGTCATCTTTTTGTTTTAAAAGCTCCAAAATAGGAGGAGATTCTTAGCTAGACGCTAAGTCCATCAGGCCAGAGCAGCTCTACTATATGCACCATGAGATGTGTTCCCATAATGCAGTACTATATGAAGAAAGAAACAACCGTTTTTCTGCTGAGGCAAGAGAAAAACCCACCCAATCAACTTGGGCTTGTCTGATACAAAACATCAGGCTAACTGCCAGGAGCACTGCTTTCTCCTGAGCTTACCCCTAGAAGCCATTACAATGGTGGAGGTGGTGAGAAAGCTGAAGGACAATCGAAATAAGTAACAACTGAGGACACTGACCTTTTAAAACATTCTAGTGTAAATTCCTAACACTGCCACATTTTGCCATGTTCTTAATGAAAATAAATGTTTCAAAGTAATTAACATTACAGGAAACCAGAATAATTTGCTAGTTTATATTGTCAGGTTTCCAACCACGTGCCAGATGGCAGAAAACCTGCACCGTGAGATTACAAGCCACCTCCTTCAGACCTGATTAATAAACTGTCAATATTTCATATAAGGCAAGTTTACAGCACTATCTGTACACTGGTCTCATTGGGACAAATCTTTTTTTCAGGCAAAGCTGCCATTCAAGACTCAGAATTTTTCCAGGCTCAGATCAGCTGAGGATTGCAAGGTTTTTTGGCCAGATACTCTAAAACCAACCCTGCAACATTCTGTATTCAAGTCTAACAAGGTTTTTAGATACAGTTGATTGTGGTGCATGTGTTTTGCATGAACCAAGAAATGTAATGACTAAAGTCATTTTATACTAAACAGCACACTCCTAGCCCTGTAAAACCAGTGACTTCAGGCACAACCGCTATATTTACAGAGTTAACTAAACGTGGGTCGTAGAACACTAGTAACATACTGTAATCAAGCCTATGCAGTACTCACCTGCCCTGCTCAGGCCTGTTTAACTTGTAATCCCTTTTCCTGCATAGATCAGGACAGATAGAACTCTCAGATAATCCTAACATAGGGAGTCTGCCCAGTGACCAAAATCCAGGCTGAACTGACAGTTAACATTCCTGCCTAAAGCAAAATAAATGTTTTGGTCTCAGTGCTGTTTTCAATCTAGCAGAGCACACTTAGAAAAAATAATCAGGAAGTGTCAGCATTTCCAGACCAAAAGATTTGAAAGGCACCCAAAAGTGCTTCACTTTCAAAACAGGGAATGATAGGAAAACTGAAGGGAAACCCTACAACATTATCAAAGGCAAATTAAAGCAGCAGCTGCTTCAAGGGTATCTCTTAGGTGAGATACAAATACAAAATGTTGTATTGCTAGAAAAAAAATCCAGTTATGGCAAATCTTGAATGTACTGCCACTTCCTGTTCCACTCATGTAAAAAACCTGTTGCCCATTTATAATTAACATGCCATTGATCAGTGTGTAATTTTGTTTAGCCTGAACTCAAGACAGTTGTATACAAAAAAGATGGGATTGTTTTTATTTTGAGAGACACTGAATCAAAGCGTCACATTCACAGACACTAGATAAACTATTTTATTTATTTTGATCAATTACCATAACTACTATGGAAAAAAAAATCGATCCAAGACACACTAAGACTTGGGTGCTTTGACTAAGTGGCTCCACAGTGTGATGCTACTTTAGCTTATTTCTTTAGATATTTGTTTAAATATACAAAATAATGATGCCATAGGGTAGTTCACTCCCCTGGGATACTTTGATTCACGCATGGAGCCCCACCATGATGGTAAGCTGTTGAAGTAATTAAAACAAATATCTTACATGCAACATTTGTTGCTTGCAGAGAGACCTGAATTTTCTTGCAAAATTACCGAGCGAGAAACACCATTAAAGCCTCCTTGGAGTTCCAAATGTAGATGGTCCAACAGGTAACGCATGAACTCATGGGCATCTTGTTGCTGGTATCCCCTTAACACAAAAATATTCAGACAATTTAAAGAGACTGCATCTTTATTTTTGACATATTGGCTCAAAGTAGATTCAACATTCAAACCAAAGGAATAGCCTGTTACTTAATATCTTACAGGATACACTTGTTTGTGCAATTTCTAATACTTTGGCTGTACTAGCCACATATCTCTGGAAGCCTGGAGTGAACTGATCTAGACAAGCTAAGCAATTAGTTTAGATCAGAGTGCAATATGATCTCAAAGACACAGCTTGTGTTACGCACATGTGTACAAGTGGCAAAATTCTTCCCACTCCTCTTGTCCATTTTTTTTTAAAGACTTTAGATTTAAAAGCAAAATTCCTTGTTTTTTTTAAAAAATAGTGCTGGACACCAAGCAATAATTGTACATGTACTTGATTCTTGCCTCTTGAGCAGTTCTGACAAGGGATGGGCAGTAACTCTCACTACTGTGCAGCAAGCAGGGTTGGACCTTCATCGCTAGCCCATATTGCAGGGTGGGGCAGAGTCACACTTGTGCCAAGCCACTGCAACTGCTGACCAATTGTGAACCTATGTGGTTATGGAGGCTGCTACTGGTTAAGGCCAAGCACTTCTTTCAGGCACTTGAATTGGCTGGCTAACTTGGAGCAACCTAAAAGGGAACAGTAGCAGATGGAGGGGCTCTCTCTTGATCCTTCCTTCAAGGTTGCACAATCACTCCCGCCCTTCCCCTTTGGGGTTATTGGTTATCAATCTGTCACTCCATTTGTACAGGTTTGTTTGTTGCATGGTAGATTAAGAAGGGATGTGACATTCATACCCATGGGGGAGAGACAGGCATATTTGGACTTGGAAGTAACTGTGGTTTGCATTGAGTAGGTTTGCAGTTTGAACAGTTGCATCAGTTTGAACTGATCATCATAAATGATGCACAACATACTAGAATCTTGGGCTGGGAAAACATGGTTTTACAACATACTTTTTTGGCATCTAAGAGATTCAGTAGTTTTTGGACAAAAGTTCTGGGCAGATTTTCTTCAGACACCAGACCCATCAATTCTCTTAACACTGTCAACTGGATCTCTTCTCTCAAGTAAATGGTTTCATTCCCAGGCTGAGTGTTCTCCATAAGCCTCCTGCAGTAATGGCACAAGCTCTTTAAAATAACAGGGATGTATCCCCCATCCCTAGGCTGGGCTACAGAACGGTGTTTAGAATTGTATGGAGCGGTTTCAACTTCCACTCTGGGTAATCTTGCAACATTTGAGTGAAGAAATGTATTTGAGGTATAATTCTTCTCATTACATTTGGACTCAGACACCCTACTGACCATGGAAGCTCTTTAGAGTCTCAGAAGTACAATGGAAGCAGTAGCAGAAAGATGTTGCTCACACAAGAAGCAATCAGTACTTCACTGCTAGCTAGGCTGTAGGAAGCCAACAGCAGTCAGGTAAGCAGGTTTTTATAAGTTACCAGTAAGCTAAAGGATGTAATAATTCAAGGAAAGTCAGGAGGAATCTGTATGAATACATCATAAGACTCAAAGTGGGGGGACACATCCTGCCACACAATAAGTGTAACACATCATCACAGTAACACATAGCTACACAACCCTTCATAGGATTAGTTCAGAAGTTCCCAAACCATGGTCTGCAGAGAGCTGCATTCTCTGAAGTTCTGGTCCTTTAAGTTTCACTAATAAGTTAAAAATCCATTACATATTATTCTCCTTTTCCATGTAAGCAACTAATGCAGTTACCACCAGGATATTATGTGAAGGAGTGGGATAGGTGGTGGTTTCTAAAGTCATGAACAGAAGGGGCAGTGTCTATGCAAAACTCTCAACAGTACGGAACACATCATAGAGTTGGAGAATCTGTGGTTTAGTTGAGTGAGCACAGAATGTGTTAGCTGGCTGACATGCCTAATGCAGAATGCAGTCACTGCACACCAAGCTTCCTACAAAAATCTCAGCCAAGGTTCAAGTGAACAAACACTAAAACCTTAAATAAGCGTCCCACCTTTATCCCCGAACAAACATAACAAGAGCCATTTCCTCCTAACCAGAGTCACAACAAGCATTACTCAGAGAAACTGCCTAGCTTTGCCACAACAGCAGTGAAAGGCAGAGCTGTGAAATCAAACACAGGAAAATGAAGGCAGTTGTGACTCAGAACATTTAGAGCAGACTACTGCTGTGTGGCATCAAGCTGAAGCCAGTCTATGAACTCTTAAGATCAGCTTGGTTCCCCCTCCAATTCCTTTTACATCATCGGTGGTACAATTAAGTGCTTAATCTAAATGTTTAGAATAATTTTTGTTACAGTACAATAATTATTGTGCAACAGCTATGCACGCAAGATGTAAGCAGAGGCAAGGAACCTTCAATCCATTACTATGTTACAATAGTGGTTCCAAATTGTTACCCTATAGAGAGTTAGATTTATTAAAACCAACATCAAGTAAATATTTTGGAAGTAAAATTATTAATACTCCAAAATCTAAAATTTCTAATGTGTAGTTTTCCTGATTGGTATTTATCTTCATCGGGTCATTAGAGATGGAATTCAGAATTAAAAAGATTGTCTGGTAAAGGATGCAATATCTGCAAGTTAACTTTGCATAGATACTAAACAGAAGATGGAGGTGAATGCCTGGCTGCGAAGATGGTGTCGCCAGGAGGGCTTTGGCTTCCTAGACCACGGGATGCTATT